TCCGCATCCAGGAGATGTTGCTACAGACACCACCGCTGGGCCCTGGTACCCCCACGGCGCTGCCAGATGACCTCAACAACAATGGGGGCGCCCCGGCTGCTGCACCTGACCCTGCCAGCCAGCCCCCCGCCCTGGACCCTGGCTCACTGGGGGCTGGTGGTGTCCCCAGGCCTGTAGCTGAAGCACCCAGCTCTCTGGTAGCTGCGGCAGCCTCAGTGGCTGCAGCGGCCAGTAGTGATCTGGGCTGGATGGCAGAGACAGCTGCCATCATCACAGACGCCTCTTTCCTGTCTGGCCTGAGCGCCTCCCTTCTGGAGCGGAGGGCAGCTAGCCCCCTGAGCCCGGGTGGGGGATTCCCTCGGGGCCTCCAAGCCCCCCAGGACAGTGTCCCCCCAAGCGACTCCCCAACACCTGACACAGGCCCTCTGGCTGCTGGAGCAAGTGGGCCCATCCCTGAGTCCCCAGCCCCGACAGATGAAACCTCGGAAATTGGCTCCTAAGTCCTGGGCAGCTGAATGCCTCTGTCCCTGGCTGTCCAGGCCAGCTGGGTGTGACCTGGCTGGGGTCCTTGGGGATCAGGGAGGCTGTCCCCGGTGTCTCTGGGATTGCCCAGTTGGCCTTGTGTTGGGGTCCATCTGGTTTGCCCAGGGGTGGGCTTCTCTCTCCCGGGTGTGGGGCCTGCCCACAGCCTGTCCCTGCCACATTTGTGGTGGGTCCCCTCAGCCAGCAAATCAAGGCAGGCTGATGAGCTAGGGCAGAAAAAAGGGATGGGGTCTCCATAGAAGGCTCTGGAAGGGGTTGGTGTAAGGTCTGGAGCAAGCTGTATCTAGGGGGAGAGCCCAGCAAGTCTCTGAGCCAGGTGAACACTGGTGGGGGCCTCCCTCACTGTCCTGGCCACTCAGCGGGTGCTCTGTTGTGCGCAGTGCCTTTTCCACAGCCCCTGCCCCCATATATGCGTGCCAGGGCTGGGGTATTGGCACAGGGACACAGTGTGTGGGCGCCAACTGTCAAAAACAGCAACCGGGCGCTAGGGTCCAGCCTTGCTCCTGCTGGAGAGAGCCAACGGCCCAACTATGTCACTCGGTGAGGACTGCAGAGTGCTCATTCCATTCTATTTAATTGCAGTGTACAAAATTGTGTTTGTATATAGAATAAACTGTCTGTTGACAGCACCCAGCCAGTGTCTGCATGCACCCGGTGCTGGGATTAGCTCCTGCAGGGTCCGCCCTCATGCAAAGTCAAGTGGGCTGGGTTGGTGTGGCATGGCCACCTCCCAGTGATGAAGCAGGTGGAGACCACCGGAGGCCTAGAGCAGGCACAGTGGCCCATCGCAGCTGCCACCTGGGAGCTGGGCCAGGAGCTCCCCATGCCGCACCAGCGCCTGATGGAGCCTTGAACGTGCGTCCGCAATGTGCTGCTCCAGTTCCTCCAGCTCCCCCGGGCGTGGGGCGCCAGTGGGCAGCATGGTGGGTGGCTGGCCATTGGAGCAGAGCCGGATGGGACCCTCAGGTGACCTGTTCCCCTCCACATCTGTGCCCACTACTGATGGAGCAGTGGCCAAGGTTGGCTCCAGAAGGAAGTGCACATGACGCTCCCTTACCATGGCCTGGCACACCCGTGTCCAGTTGCCCTGGCCTGACCGGGCAGTTGGTATGTCTTGTTGCTGCTTCTCCAGATCCCTGGGAACAGAGGATGGATGGGGCTGGATCAGTATCCCCCAAGGGACAGGCGGTCCCTCTCTGCTCTCTGGGGTCAGGGTTCCTAGGAGGCTGAGTGGTGGGAGGCATGGACTTACTGGTTCGGCTCTGGAATGGGAGTGGGGCCTGCAGGTGTAAGATGGCAGGCCCGAGGCGAGTGTAGGAGCTGGTGGAGTGGGAGCCCCTTACCTTGGCTCAGGTTCTTTCTGCTTGTCCAGCGGCTCTGTGTTGAGGGCGAGGTGGATTCTCTGTGAGCCAGATAGAGGCTGTGTTGGGTCAGGTTGGGAGGTTGCCCATGCTTGCCCGCCCTGTGCCATCTCCTCACCTGACTTGTGTGTAGCCAGTACTGCAACCTGTTACCCCTCCGGATACATGGCAGCACCAGGTGGTAGAAGATGTGCTCCCCCAGAGAGCTGAGCAGGGCACTACCCAGGCCCAGGCAAAGCAGCACAAAGAGACCGGAGAAGTGGTAGATGCCCATCTGCAGGGTCTGCAGAGGTGGGACACAGGCACCAGCCCTTCATGGTCATGGCAGACCCTTGGGGAGCCCTGGCCTGGAGGACACAGGTTGGGCCAGAGATGGACCTGGGGCTGTACAGTTGGGTTGGGAGGCTAGGGCTCCATATTCTGGAGCAAGGTTCCAAGGAGGAGAGGGCACTGGAGCTGGGATTTTGTAGGATGAACAGGACTGCGCAAAAGCAGACAAATACACATCTTGCTTATGCTCAGGGGATTGGCCACCTCAGCCCACACAGGCTCAGAGCCCCCACACCCTACCCACACCCTGTGTCCCAGGCCCTGTCCCACCTCTGTGACAGCAAGTACCCGCTTCCCACAAGGTACCATCTTGTACCACTTGTCATGCAACAGATCGATGAAGCCAGAGGACTTGTAGCGGCTGATGAACTCGGACAGGTTGGAGGTGAGCGGTGAGTTCTGAGGGAGTCCGATGCCATAACCTGATGAAGGCCAGGAATTGGGTTGGACCAGACTGGACACAGCCCAGGGGAGCTGTGCCCACTTGGAGCCCTCAGTGGCTCCCTGCTGCCTCAGGGTCACTGGTCTCGGGCCTCTCACCCTCAATGGCAAAGGGCTTGCCCACAGTCAGCAGTTTGCAGTCGGCGTCGATGGAGACCTCATAGTCCAGGAGTGACTTGTCCATGATGAAAGCATTGAGCTTGGGGGGGTCGCTCCTGTGGGGATGTGGAGGGGGTGAACACCTGCCCTGGTAGGCCTCCCTGCCTCCCCCCCACCCCCAATCCTGCTGTATGCCCTGGCCTCACGTGAGCATGGCAACGCCATGGGGTGTTGTGGGTACGCTGTGTTGCCGCATGTGCGCGTGCATCTCAGGGAAGCTCTTCTTGATGTAGGCCTCTGCACTGCTCTCCCACACAGTGCCAAAGCGGAAGCTCTGGGACGGGTGGTGCAGCTGTGGGCAGGTGAGTGGTCAGTGCCAGGCCCTTCTCTGCACTCACCTGCATTCCCACCTGACTCTGCTCTGGCCTCCCACCCAGGCCCAAAGCTCTCAACCAGCGTCTCCCCTCCCGGCTGACATGAGGCCAGGTCATTTCCTGTGGAGGGTTGTCCCAGGCACTGCAAGTGTAGAGCAGCATCCCTGGCCCCATCCTCACAATGCCCGGAGTACCCCCACTGTGATAACCACAAATATCCCCAGACATGACCTAGTGTCCCCTGTGGGCAGGCACTACCCAGAGTCCATCACACAGACGTGGCCCTGAACTCCAGACCTCCTCCCACCACTTCCTCCAGGGCTCCTTGTTCTCCCTCCTTTCATCCCATGACCTGACCTGCAAACCCTGCGGGGTCGGCTCTGCCTTAAGAACACCCCACCACCATGCCCTGGTCCATGGTGGCTAGAAGCATAAGCGTCACATCAGAGAGTCATAGATTGACTCCTGGAAAGGGCACACAACTGGGTTGTGGGATCTGCTCGCTGCCTCCAGTCAAGGCACGTGCAAGAAGGCAACCCGGCAATGTGCTTCACATTGACGTCTCCTCTTTCCCTCCCT